CATTTCTTTTTACAAAAAAAAAAAAGAAACTAAAATAAGAATGTTATAATCTTTAAAATTTCAGCTTGAGAAAAATGTAAAATGAGGTAGAAGAAAATACTAAGTTCAAAAATATTGAACATGCATTAATGAACACATTTAATTTGTATAAAAAAACTTTACACCGTTATATATACATTTTTGTATAATATATAATACGGTAATAAAAGTAATGCAAAGGTAAGAGTATAAAATAAATGAACACTAAAAACTACATTGTAACACTATGCAAAAGAAGTTTGTAGTTTTATAAAAATAAAAATTTTTTCTTCTTTCTTAATTAGATCTACAATTGAAAATGAATCGCAAAGGTGCAATTAATTGTGCATCTATGTATATGCACACATTAATAAGATAAAAAAAATGTTGTTATTCTGAATAAGTATATTAATTGATAGTTTCAATTGAATTTTAACAAAAGTAATTAATTTTGTATTTCAATAACTTCACGATACTTGGTTTTATCTCCTCCTTGATGTTTATTCAACAGATAAATTTTATATACATTTTGCTATATACGCAACAACAAAGGAAATATAACCGTACAATTTTGTATCCACAATCGATGTAAAATATGTTATTTAAATTCTACACGAGATGTTTAATACATTATTGATATTTACTAAAATACGTGAAACATCGTGCAATTTTTAAGAATACTTTGTAATGTGAGCGAAGATCTTAAGGCAACCAAACGTACGTATTAGAGTAGTATAAACAAAATTCATATTTAGTGAAACGCAAGCAGCATGTACATGTGATAAAGCGAAATGGAGTTTATGCAAGCAACTATAAAAAATATTGCTCCTTTCCTAACGCCATCTAATGCCTGACCAGAAAAGGTGCAACATTTATTTATTTAATTTTACTTTTATAATTAAATTTTATAAATAAATTGACAATTTACTTAAATGAATACAATAATAAAAATTTTTCGATAAAATAAATATTAAAAGCTTTTTAAATTAAATTTTAATATTCTGACATCCACTTCGTGACTCATGCGAACCAACCATAAGGTTCATATTCTGCGATTCTTATGCGAATCCACTCTCCCTAGTTTCAACGCACTTACCCACATGCATATTCATAGCAAACTAAATGTAACCGTAATCGTAATTTTACTTTATGTTTAAATATAGTTCGTATCTATTGCAACACAGGATAAGGACCTTAGTGTACTGTTAATTTGTAATTTGTATGTAACGGGATCGACGTAAGTGCATGCGCGCGCCGTTGCGCGGGTAAAACCTCGGAAACACCCAGATAACTCAAACGTTACTCTCTTGTTCACTAAATGTCTGCGCGGCGCCAAACGAGGTGC